GCAGCACTAATTAGGTGCCAAAATTTGAGGTCACTTCGCACCTCGTCGCGACGCAGCACTAATTAGGTGCTGAAATTTCCAATCGTACCACTTGAGACACACCCGATGGCGCATGCTCGAGCAAATCGACGATCAACGGGACGACGGGTGATACAGGTGATAGCTGGTTGCTATTAATCCCCAATTTTTCGGAACGTTTGTGTTGTACGTAGGTAACTTGAGCAGAAGACAAAACGATTAAAAAATTGTAAAAAACCAGGACGTGCCTCGAACCGTCGAGCCACAGCTGCCAGCATATCTTCTTCCTCCAGTTTGCTACAGACAGTTGCACGTGCGGCTTCTACTTGATGCTGTTTGTAGCAACTGAACGATTTCTATTCATATTATTCATAGCCTCAATGAAGGCTAAGCTAACAAACCTAATATAGATCGATAATTTATCGGAGACTTCCAACTGTCTTGCTTTGTTTTCCTCCATCTCGTCAACAATTTCTTTTCGCTTTTGTTCATCGACATTTCCATTCGACTGGGTGTCCAGATAGAATAGTTGTCGCTCTAGTGACCGTACTACGGAGACGATTTCGCGAAGCTCAGACTGCAACACTGCTCTAAGGCTGTTGAGAAATGTATGGACTAAAGCTTGGAATCCTTCAAAAATTACACAATAGCGCTAGTCAAATAGGACTGTGGCAGGAGTGGGTAGTGGCAAGTGGAGCTGTTGACCACCCTCGCGGTTAAATCAAGGATTAAGTGTCATGGGAGCCAGCCGAAACCTCATATTCTTCAAAGGTTGCTAGATTGAATATGAGTTGTTTAATTTTCCAGATACTGGAATGTTAAAAGCGCTGAACTGCAGATCCAACCACTGTGACTTAAACAGCAGTTGACCCCTGCAAGTCACTGCATTAAAAGGATAAGCCTCATTCAGCTGCCTGTCACGACACTGAGCTGAAGTAGTATGCGTGACACATACCGAAAACGGCTAAACGCCTAACCCATTGCTTTAATTGGCAAAATGTCATTTCCGTAAGGGTGCGGACCCTGATACGCAATTT